TCTCTCCGTAGCTAAGTGTACTGTTTGTACCCATATCATGGTGCATCAAGACCGATTGAACGCTTGTTTTCGCCCCCCCCCTTCCCCTCAAAATCCATTTCCTGTGCAGCAGAAATGTCGTACTTACAAATCTATCGATCAGCTCAGGAGCTGGCTTCTGAAGGCATTTCAGATCGTCCAGCTGTCTCCTCACATTCTCCAGTTCATCCTCCGTGGCCCTCTGAGCACCCTCGGCACGTTGTGCAGGTCTTCGCGCATTTACTGGAAAAGATAGAATTGCATTTAATACAGCGGTAATAATGGACTTTGGCTGCGCTTTCAAAGCGACACCTTAACATTACCTGGCACTAAAACCTCCATGTCATAGACATCTGTACGCGCCAGGCGGGCTTTGGCCGCACGACTTTCCACAGCTGCTAATGCTTTTTTCCGGGTAGTAACGCATACGGCATCAGGCCCTGGGTTCCCTCGTATGATTTCGCCATCACGTGATACCTTGAGTTTAGATAGATTTGTTTTAGTTCCTGTAAAAGGTACACAAAAAAATTAGACCACACGTGCTGCACCTCCTCTCATCCCCCACCCTCCCATCCGCAGCGCCGGGCGAGGCCAGGATCCTGATGATCTTCATGTCGAAGTGCATGGGCCCCGCGCCCCGCTGGGGTTGGGCGGCCGACCGACGGCGACCTGGTCCCCTCCCCCGCCCTCCCCTCCCCTCCCCTCCGCAGCGCAGGGCGAGGCCAGGATCCTGTTCAACTGCACGTCGAAATACACGGGCCCCGCGTCCCCGCTGGCGTTGGGCGGCCGACCGACGCCGACGGCGACCTCCCCTCCCCCGGGCCGCGCCGGGCAAGGCCAGGATGCTGGTCAACTGCATGTTGAAGTGCATGGGCCCCGCGGCCCCGCGCCCCCGCTGGCCTTGGGCGGCCGACCGACGGCGACGGCGACCTCCCCTCCCCTCCCCCGTCCTACCCCTAAAGCGCCGGGCAAGGCCAGGATCCTGTTCAACTGCACGTCGAAGTGCACGGGCCCCGCGCCTCCGCTGGCCTCGGGCGGCCGACGCCGACCTCCCCTCCCCCGCCCTCCCCTCCGCAGCGCCGGGCGAGGCCAGGCTCCTGTTCAACTGCACGTCGAAGTGC